TTCTGTTGACGCCGGGACTGGCGCGGTGCCGCGAGGGCCTCTTTTCCGAGGTGTGCGAGAGGGGCCGTCTCCCGCCGGCACGACTCACGGCCGCCAGGCGTACGTCTTGCAGCTCTTGAGGGGCTGCTTCGGCAGCGTCTCGCGATTCTTCCCCGCCTCAGCCCGGAGCGGAGGCCCCAAGAGCCCTGCCGACGCGCCTGGTGGTGCGACGGGGACGGGCTCTCTAGAAGTCAAGGCAAGGGGTGGGGGAGGAAGAGGGGCAGGAGGAGTTCGACAGAGAACGGGAAGGACTACATGAGTGAATTAGCAGTCAATGCGATCCAAGGTTAGCTGTAATAAGTGCTGGATATCCGACACTCTTGCAGACAAATGCAAAGACATGAGAGCGTGTCTTGCAGTTTCCCTGGGGGGCACCACAGGCTACTGGCTGACGGTGGGGCCTCGTGTGGTGGAAACCTCGGGGCCCTCTTGCAGCACAGTCCCTAGAGAACTGCTCAAGGGAGGGTCGGAATGCCACCTCACCCGAGAAGACTGGCCGCGCCCCGTCAGCCAAGACATCTGCGCGCAGATCCCTGGGCACCTCAAATCCAGACATGGAGGCAGGACACCAGCCGATACCTGTCCCGGCAAATTCTGCGCGTATTCCAGACCAGACCCGGTCGCGTTCGCTGAGGTGTGCAACGACTGGGCGCGATCCCTCTCCGCGGTTCCCTCTGCGTCTTTCGAGGCCCGCACCCGGAAGTACCGCCGCATCTGCCTCTCCACCTGGCAGGGGTATGCATGGCCCTCCCACTGCCACTCTACAGACAGACCTAAACCTAGGTCGGGCCTGTCCCCCTACAGGCGGATTTGGGCGGAAAAGCAGACATTCTCAAACAGTACTCCCAAAATGCTCAGAAATTGTCGAGAAACAAACATAACCCCCAGACTGTTTTCTTCACTATTTTGGAATATCCCCCGTGTAGAGGGACACGCCCGATTTGAACCCCAAAACTCCGAGAGCCAACTGATGCCCGACGGGCCTCGGCTCCTGGCAGCAGCCATGATGCTTTTCGGCGCGCGCGGCTCGCCGATCTCGGCACGAGCGCTGCGACGGTAGAGCGGCGGCCTGCGTGCTGAGGCTTTGGGCACCCGCGCCCCCCGAAAGCCGCACACCGGAAGACACTCTCCGAGCATGTCCGCAAGGTGGATGGCTCAGGGTGAAATCCATATGGGCTCTTGCACCTCGGACACCAGTCCGTCGTGTGATGCACCTCTTGCAGATTCGAGCCTCGAGCATGCATCGAAACGGCATCTCAGATTTCACCCCTTGCCCTCCACCCAAAGAAAATGCTCGGACTCTGGCGAAGAATCACTCCCGCGTGCAGCCGACAAGATGCGGCACAGCGCAAAAGAGAGAGAGAGAGAGAGAGACCAGGCACGGCGGGAGTTGCGAGAGGTCTCCGGCCGATCTTCTGTGGCCGTCCGCGACGGGCTGGCTACCCCCTCCTCCTCCTCCTCCTCCTCCTCCTCCTCCGTCCTCCTCCTCCTCCATTCATCCTTCTCCTCCTCCTCTTTTCTCCTCCTCTTCCTCTCCTCCTCCCTCCTCTTCCTCTCCTCCTCTCCTCTCCTCCTCCCTCCTCCTCCTCCTCCTCCTCCCCTCCGCCTCTCCGTCCTCCGCTCACCCTGCTCCTTCACCATCCCTCCTCCTCCTCCTCTCTCCCTCCTCCTCCTCCTCATCCTCCTCCTCCTCCTCCCTTCCCCCCCTCCTCGCTCCTCGCTCCTCGCTCCCGCTCTCCTCCTCCTCCTCCTCCTCCTCCTCCTCCTCCTCCTCATTATCATCCTCGCTCCTCCTCCTCCTCCTCCTCCTCCTCCACCTCCTCCTTCTCCTCCTCATCCGCCTCCCTCTTTCTCCCCTCCCTCCGCCGAATGTCGGCTGTCCGAGCGCGACGTCTGGCCCGAGGCGAGGGTCGCGGCGAGAGCTGCCGGGCCGACCGGAGCAGGGCACGTCGACAAGCACCCCCGTCCGCTGTGTTGACAGGAGGAGGAGGAGGAGGAGGAAGAGGAGGAGGAGGAGGAGGAGGAGGAGGAGGAGGAGGAAGAGGAGAAGGAGGGGGAGGAGAACGAGGAGAACGAGGACGACGGCGACGAAGCCCAGATGGGCCGCTTCATGGGCCCACGATCCGAGGTGGGCACGTGGCTCGCTCCAGGGATCCGGCGGCTGACGTGCAAATCCCCCCTGGCTCGGCGAACTCATCCATGAGGCCCGGAGCCCGGGGAGGCTGGCCTCACAGCCTGGCGCTCCCGAGTCAGACCCGACGCGCGTGCCAGCTCGATGGCCGCCGCGCACCTCCAAGGGGGGGACCACCGCACGTCATCAACGAGGCGCGGCGCGAAGAGAACAAACAACACCCGCATGTCGAGCAACCAGCGTCGCACCCACAGCGTTCCAGCTGCTGGGTCCACCCACAGGCCGAGTTTTGCCAACAGGTTGCCTGCAAGCGGGTGGGTTGGACGTTTGTGCGAGCATTGGAGGTGGTCACGCGCCGATGCGGCCAACAACATCTGCATCCCAAAGAACTCGCCAGCCAGACGGGCCAATCAAAGGTGTGCTGAAATCTCCGGTAACAGCTTCAGAATACTTCTAGTTCGCGCGCGTGACTGCCCCTGGGGGTCCCCGGGCAAGTCCCGGGCGGTCCCAAGGCGGTCCCAAGGCGGTCCCCGTCACCGATGCCGGAACTCCTGGGGGCTGCCGTCAGGGCCTTCAGGAGCGTCTCCAGAGGCCCCGAAGGCGGTCTACGTAAGAAGGCCCAGGGTCACCGGAAGTCGTTCCAAGATGCCCAAGATAGCCTCCAGACGGCTTCAACCGCCTCCAAGGCGCCCGAAGATGCCTCCAAGACCACTCCAAAGAAGCCCCCTCGAGGCATGGTTTTGCTTTCAGCGTTCTCACCTTTTCGGCCGCCGACGCTCTAAGACGGCCCAAGAAGCCCCTAAGATCGCGCCAAGAGGGCCCGTTCAGCCTCCCAGAGAGCCCCAAAACGGCCAACGGGGACTCTAAGACGGCTCATGTTTCTCCCAAGACGGCGCTGGAGAGCCCCAAGACATCTTCAGGAAAACCCCCTCGAAGGGGAGCCCCAACTGACATTCCGAGCGTTCGGTCTCCACATCGCCCCCAGAGCCGCCCCCTGGGCTTTCGAGGAGCTCCTAATAGGCCCCACGAGGCTCCCAAGACGCACCCAGGAGGCCGCAAGAGGCCTCCAAAGGAGCTCCTCAGAAGCTCCAAGAGCCCTTCGAGCCCTCGGCCACAAGAGGCGTCCAGGCTACCCCAAGCGGCCCCCGAGAGCCCCCCAAGAAGGTCCAAGAGGGCCCCAAGAGGCGCCAAGAGAGCCCCAAGAGGTATCCAAGGTGCCCCCAGAAGGCCCCCGAGCCCCTAAAACTGCTACACAGGATGGCCCCGAGAACCCTCAGAAGAGACACCACGAATCATCCATGAGGACTCACCCCAACAACCGCAACAGCGCCGACCAGCAGCGCCACATGGCCCACGAACGCGCACGCCAACGCAAACGATGGCAAAATACGGGCCGGCGGAATGAGCGAAACGATTGAATAAACTCCACAAACTGGTCGTCATCTCCTTACACGGAATGACTGCTTGGGGTCCACGCGCTGGCGTCGTGTATTGCCTTGTCCAATATTGCATCCACTAGACTGCTGAGAGACTAAGAAAGCTGGCGGAAGGGAAACATTGACAGAGAATGAGTGAATAGATATCTGGCCCCGATGTCGTCAACGTGCGGTGAAATCATCAAAGCGGTCGTTTCCATTGATGCGACCAAGCGATTGCTCCAGCTTCCAGGGCAAATCGTGCTCAGCCTCATCTTATGTATGTGCCATGTCGAGGCAGCGGGGGGCAATCGCTAGGGGGAGATATTTCTCAATCGGCGAACATGGGTACAACTTCTATTTGGGGGTCATGGTGCGCCCTTGCCGCGACCATGTGGCACCGGCTCGGCTCGGGAGCTTGAGATGATCTTGATACAACTTCCCATGAAACATATGTCATCCCCTCGGAAGCGAATCTTACCACCCCATGCTTGGACGGCGCGTGCGAACCCTACACAGTGTGAGGTGATCGACTCTGACATAAAAGGGCTCCGGATGAAGCCCTGACGGGGATTGCACTCTGAGCAGATTTTTTTTTTGTTTTCTCGAGTTTGGCGTCATGTCCGCCACCGTGCCATCTGCATTTTGAGCCATGGAAGAATGCCAAGGGCTGTCTGACATGGTTTTGATATTATAATCAGGGCCCCCCCACACCTACTAGCAGCTGACTGCCTGCGCCGCCCCCTTCTGCCGAAGCTCCTGGGTTACGATCCCTCGTGCAGAAGAAGATTGACCCGCGTCCCGAGCTTCTAGGACGGCCCAGATAGCCGACCAAGGCCGCCAAGATGGCCCGAGATGTATCGAAGACGGCCCAAAGTTGCCCCAAAGGCGGCCCACGATGGCCGCAACTCGGGCAAGGACGCATCCAAGAGGGGCCAAGAGGGCCACCAGGAGGACGCCCGACGGAGCCCTCAGGAGGCCAACATCATGGCTATTCGATTGGTTTGTGCAGGATGTTCGCACTCTCGCCTGCTCGGGCTTCCATCAGCTCAAGGTGGCCCAAGCAGCCTCCAACATGGCCTCACGAGGTCCCCGTGAGAGTCCTACGATGGCCCGACGAGGCCTCCAGGATGGCCCAAGAGGCCTCCAAGACGGCCCCACACTGGCCGTGGTGGGCCTCCGCCGGGAGCCCATACGGCCTCAGAGGGCCCCACGACGGCGCCAAGACGGCCCCACGACAGCCCCAAGACACCCTCCATGCGGCCACGGGCGTCCCTGACGGCCCACGAGAGCCCCGAGACGGCCTTGGAGGGCCCCAGGCACACCCCGAAACTGCCCCGCGGCAGCCCAGGCCAGCCCCAAATGATGTCCAGGAGAGCTCCTCGAAAAGAGAAGACGAGAGGTGTCGCAATTGACGGCTCTCCTCTTCCTCCTCCGCGTCCTCCTCCTCGTCGTCCTCCTCCTCCACATCATCGTCATCACCATCATCATCAATCCTCACTCATAAACCATCTAGCACCAGTAGCATAATCATCATCCTCATCATCATCAGCATAATTATCATCAACACCAGCGTCAGCATCAGCATCAGCATCAGCATCTTCATCATCATCATCATCATCATCATCATCATCAGCATCATGATCATCATCATCAGCATCAGCATCATCATCATGATCAGCATCATCATCAGCATCATCATCATCAGCACCATCATCATCATACGCATCATCATCTTCGTCATCACAACCATCATCAGCATCATTGTCATCATCATAATCCTCGTCCTCCTCAACACCACCAACATAATCGTCATCCCCCTCCTCCTCCTCATCCTCTTCCTCCTCCTCCTCCTCATCATCATCATCCTCCTCACCATCATCATAATCATCACTATCACCATCATTTGCATCATCAGCAACATCATCATCATCGTCCCCATCACCGTCAGCATCGGCAGCATCAACATCATCAGCATCATCATTACCACCGCCATTACCATCATGATGATGACGATCATCATCAGCATCCTCATCATCATAAGCACCACCATCAGGAAGCATCCTCATCATCCCAATCAGCATCCTCATCCCCATTATCATTATCAAACTCCTCGTGGTCCTCATCCTCAGCATTATCATCACCATCATCATCGCCATGAGTTGCATTAGGAACATCGCCACCATCCTCGTCATCATCATCAACAGCATCACCATCATCACCAACGTCAACATCAACATGCTGTACATCCCAGTCGCCAGCCACAATCCTTGTCATCTTCCCGTGCCCATCTTCTACATCTCTTCGTCATCGTCATTATCATCGTCCGATTCGAACAGCTGCCAGGAAGACTGCTGGACTGGCATGGAGGCGGACTTGCCGCCGGCAGCTGAATGAAGATAATGTTTTGACAACGCGCTGCGGCCAGATATGCCGCCAGAGGCATGGAACCGCCACAGCCGTTGGAGGTACGCGCATGCGTATCGATCTGAGTTTTTTCCGAAGGGGGAAGGACGCCTGGGCCTCGTCTGTGACGTTTCTCGCTGGTCAGCTCGACGAGTCAAGCCGACAAGCAACACATTGCACGACGCAGCGCCTCTTCGGGCAACTTCGCCGCCAATCCTCTTCGGGCAGACGGCACGGCGAGCGCGAACTAAGAGCACGGCATGGCGCGCCTTGTAGCCGGCGCGGGCGGCGGATGCGGCGTTGGGCTCAGAGCCTCCGAGGCCTCACCTGCGCTTCCCGAATATCCTCAGGAGGTGGAGGAAGAGCTGAATGATGTCCATGTAAAGGCTAATGGCAGCCATGGCGTAGTCGTCAACCGAGAAGCGGTGCTGATGCTTGCCCCCGATGATGAGCTGGGTGTCGTAAACGATGTACGCTGAGAAGAGCAGGGCGCCCATGGCGGCGTGACAGATGTTCGCAATCCTGAAAGCTGGGCCTGTGAGGCCGAACATCGACACAATGGACATCGTGAAACCGACTCCCATCAAGACGAGGCATCCACAGAACAAGTACGGTCCATAACCCGTGAAATCATACGTTGTCTGGCATGCAAACACCGTCAAGCCGACTACGACAAGGCACGTAATGCCCAGCGCGATCAGAACGGACTCCCGGGTGTACTGCGCGCTAATGACACCTACCGCGACGCTTTGGGCAAGTGTGAAGAGCGCGAGCAGCACATAGTTGGTCGGAGACTGACGCATCAGGTCTGGCTTGCACATGAACACGCACATCATTGCTACCGTGATCGCAAGCGAGCCGAACATCAGAAACATAACGACAGTGGGGCTTGTCGAGATCATGGTCTTGAGCATGGTCATGGTCAGCCCGCCGATGATGGTGGTGGTAATCAGCTGCGCGCCCAAGATGCCGTACACTTTTTGAACGAAGCCGTGGCGCACCGCTGCCTCGCCGAACCCGATCAGCTCGCGGCCATCGGCCTGCAGCGGGGCGGTCTCGTCGGTGCTCGGGTCGAGAGCCATATGCGCTGAAAGCACTTCTACTTCGCACAGCCTGCGGTCACCCCCCCGTGCAGGGGATGGGAGGCTGGAAAGCCTGGGCGTAAGATCGGAGGAGCTCGAGCCGGCGAGGCAAGACGCACGGGAGTGGAGGTAGCCGCGGGGGATGGGAACCGGATGGAAAGATAATGCCTGAAGCGGAGGGGTGGGGGGGCGACTGTGGCAACCAGGAAGAGAACGACGACGATAACGACGACGATCGGGCCCTCCACCAGCATCCCACCGCCGCTGCCTTCGCCACGGCCACCAGAGATTGCAATGCGGCGGCGGCAGCGATGGGGCAAAGAACGCTGGGGCATAATAGCCGATGGATGCCATTTTCTTTTCCCTCTCCCTGCAATGTTGTCACCCATGCACAGAAGCAGAAAGCTTTGAATGCGCAAGCGACCAAACTCCCCTTCCATCGGCGAAGCACTTCCGTTAGGGAGGCGGCATGGTGCACAGAGTACTGGGGCAGGGCTTCTGACAGCGACGACAACGAGGGGATCTTGAATGTTTTTTCTGTGGTCCGCAGGCGCATGCGTTGGCAAGGGGAACTGCGCGGCACTATCAGCGCGGGGCCGATGCAATTTTGTCAGCACGTGACCTGCTTGTTGGTGACATGCCCGGATCGCGCCACACTTAGGCTTGTGCAGGGGAGGATGACAATCAAGAGGACACACTACGCACGAAAAAAGAAACGCGCCCCGAATGACCTCTCTGTTGGCACTGCAGTCTGCTTTAGCTTCGGGCCGCAAAAGAACTGCGTTTAGGAAGAACGGGGTGGCACGGGGAACCCGGAGGCGGAAAAGCGGGCCGGAAGGCGGAGGGATGGGGATCAGAAGAATGACAACGGGCAAGGGGGGGCGAGGAGGAGGAGGAGGAGGCGCACGAGCGGTACAAGAAAAAGAGAGGGCGAGAAGCAGGAAGGAAGGAGGGTCAAAGGGAGCAGGGGGCGGCCGCCAGGAAGGAAAGGGCGAGAACGCACAGGGGAGGGAGCGCTGACTTGTTCTGCTGTCCTGGTCAGCAACTGGTCGGAACCGACGACGCAAACAGGGGCACCTCTCACGGGGCCAGGTGGGGCGGAAAATGCGGGGCGGGGAATGATATATGTCCACACCCTGGGGAACCGACGTCCTGGGACCCCACCGGGGGCGGTGGGTTTTTGAATTCAACCAACCAATGTATTCCTATCCTCATATTGTAATTACCCGGAACCCCTGCCCCCCTCCCCCCCCCAGACCCCCCCCCTAAACCGGATCCTTCCCCCAGGGACGCTCCGGACGCCCTTTCGGACGTTCCGGCGGCCCCCTGGACGCCCTTGGAAAAGGTTCGGTGGCCCTTCCGGGCCTCCCAGGGCGCCTCGCTGGGCCTTGTGAGCCGACTGAAGGCGATTAGAGGGGTCGTCGGAGAGGCGCAAGAGAGACCCAAGACAGCGCAAGAGCGCTCCAAGAGGAACCTCGATGGTCTGAAGACGGCCCAAGAGGCCCCCAAGACACCCCAAGAGGCCGTTAAGAGAGCCCCGAAGAAGCCAAAATCGTCACATTCCCTCAGGAAATACACTTGTTGTGCATATCCGCTTTTTGCATCTTCGCAGCGTCCAAGACGGCCCAATGGGCCCCCAATCTCGCCCCAAGACGGCCCGGGAGGCCCCCTAGAGGGGTTGAAGGCGGCCCAAGGGGGCCCCAAGACTGCCCCAGAGAGCCCCGAGACGGCCCACAAGAAACCCAAGATGCCCCCAAAGGCTCCCAAGAGAGACCCACGAAAGCCATGGGATACCTCCAAGAACGCCACTGGAGGCCCGCAAGAGGGCCCTAGATGGCTTCAGAAGACCTCTGGAGGGCCCCAGCTCCCCAAGGCGGCCCAAGAAGCCCCAAGGACGGCCCAAGAGTGCCCCAGGACGGCACAAAAAAAACACCAAAAACCACCAGACGACGTTTTCCTACGAAATACATCAAGCTGACCCGACGATCTTGGTTCCACGTTTGAGGCTCGGGGTTTCAATAGCTACCCGATCGAGAGAGACGGGCAATGGATCTAGATTCGAAATTCGACGATCGAAGATTTCCTGAGTGCCTGGAGCCCTCCAGGCATTCGGGAAACGATCAAAAATCGATGTGTTCGGAGCTACTGTGACTTCTTCGGCGTGTCATGGGAACGCTCCTTACTTCCTCAAAGGACCTTCGCGCGCGAAAGTATCAGCATTTCCCCACTCCTGCGCACAAGCGTGCCAGCGTGTCAGCAGGCACCCGGGATATCGGAAAAATGGGCGGGTCGCCCGTCCAGGCCTCGAGGTCCTCCCTGCTGAAGAAAGCGATGATTTATTGCTTTGCCAGGGAAGCGTCCGGAACAAGGCGCATGGCGCGAAGCGCCAATGCAGTCTTGTATATATGTATCTATAGTTATATGTGTGTAGGCAAAAACGCCCAGACGGCGTTCTCCTACGAAATACATGTAGCTGACCCGACGATCTTGGTTCCACGCTTGAGGCTCGACGTTTGAATTCCTCGGTCGAGAGAGACAGGCAATGGATCTGGATTCGAATTTCGACGATCGGAGATGTCCTGGGTGCCTGGGGCTCTCCTGGCATTCAGGAAGCGACCAAACAGTGATTTGTTCGGAGCTACTGCAACTTCTTCGGCGTGTCATGGGAGCGCTCTTTACTTTCTCAAAAGACCTTCGCGCGTGAAAGAATTATCATTCCTTCCCCGCTCCTGCGCACAAGTGTGCAAGCGCACCGGGCGAACGCGGTGTCAGCAGGCACCATGGATATCAGAAACTTGAGCCGGTCGCCCGTCCAAGCCTCGAGGTCCCCCCTGCTGAAGCAAATGATGATTTCTTGCTTTGCCGAGGAAGCGTCCAGAAGAAGGCGCACGGCGCGTATGTGTGTGTGTGTGTGTGTGTGTGTGTGTATGTGTGTATGTGTGTATGTGTGTGTATGTGTGTGTGTGTGTCGGGTGTGTGTGTGGTGGGGGGGCACAAGGTGCTCGAATCTATGCACATCCGCCGCCTGCCGAGGTCCCCGCAGATCGATCCCACCTAGGCGGTGGTCTCTGCACCGCCCGGGCGCATCTCGACGACCCGCGGCGTGGATGCGCCGCTGGCGCGGCAGGGCCCCCGCGGAGCCCCGCGACGGGCGGGAAGCCTCGGCCGGGCGGGGGCCCGCCCCAGACGCAAGAGTGACGGCCGCCATGCCCTCCCGCGAACCGAGCACGGCCACAATTCGCTGATCGGCGTGTCAGGGTAGGAGGTCTACCAACCTCCGATGTTCTTCTTCTTCTTCTTCTTCGAGCGTTTTCTTATTCAGCGTTTCGACATTGGGCGGAAAGAAGGGGGAGGGGGGGGGGTCTGGCTCCAGACCTCTGCTTAGTGCGACCTTTTGCAAGAGTGCGGCCTCTGGGGGAGACTCCGCCCGCTCGAAACAAGCGCCAAGAAAAACGGCAAAGACCCACTCCGTGTGTGGGGGGGGGAAGGGGAAGGGGGAGGAGAAGGGGGCCCGCGCCGATCGGCAGAACAATGCATAAGGCAACTATCACTTCCCTTCGTCGAGAGCACGGCGGCCGCCTCCGTCCACTTATCCTCGGGGAAAAAGGGCGACGACTCCGCCGCGTCCAGGCTGTCCAGCGCGAGGCGGCGCAACCTCCGCAGCTCCTCCTCCGAGGCCTGGTGCCCCTGCCGCAGCAGCTGGTAGGCGGCCTCTTCTTCGGGGCGCTCTGCAGAGAGGAGGAGGAGGAGGAGGAGGAGGAGGAGGAGGAGGAGGAGGAGGAGGAGGAGGAGGAGGAGGAGGACAAGAGGAGAGGAGGAGGAGGAGGAGGAGGAGGAGGACAAGAGGAGGAGGAGGAGGAGGAGAAGGAGGAGGAGGAGGAGGACGGAGTCTCTTCTGCCCCGATCCAGACCCGGGCCAGACAGGCTTCGCAAGATCCTGCAGGATCCTGTGACTGACCCCCGTTTGCAATGACCCCCGACCTCTGGTCGAGGCATCGCCGCCTGGGCCACTGCCGAGAGAGAGAGAGAGGGGAGCGGGAAGAAGAGGCGGGGAACCCAGACCCCATCGATACACGAAAAAACACGACGGGACTTTTGTTCGCAACCGCCGGGCCTCGGGACCGCCGAAACACGACTCGGGCAGAGAACAGCCTGTCCTGGGGACTCCTGGATCGAAGTCCTGGAGACTTGTGGCGTCGGGGGCCTGGGGAGCAGGCGGACCCAGACCTCCGGCGTCAAGCCGAAAAACCGTGACGGCCATGTCTCCCCGCCAGTCTCTCGGCGCGGGGCACGAATCGCTTCGAGATGCGAACAAAGCGTCGCGAGCACATGCCGCCGTCGAACGTCGGGGAAGGAGGAGCGGCTGGACGAGGAAGAGGAGAACACAGCATTGTCAACTGTGCCACCCTCGCGGCGTGTGGCACATAGGTCTCGCCCCCTTCCTGTGCACTTCCCCGGCCTTGTCGCCGCGCTGCCGGCGCTGGACCCTGAACCCCGTGAAAGCCGCAGCGAACGTCCCCCCACCTCCGCAGCGTGTCGCCCCCGCCCGGCTTCCCCCTCGCCCCGCGCCAAGCACTGCGGCCCACCGGGGCGCCTCTTCCGGCAAACCTGCGCGCGCGCCAAGAGCAATCACAGCAGCTGGGCCTCCCTGCCGGCGACGCGCGAAGCTGCGTGCCCTCCGGGCACGGAACGACTGCTCGGGCGCGCGGCCTCGCGGAGCCGCGGGGGGGGAGCAGGGGCAAAGTCCAGGCGCGGGCGTGCCGCACCACAAAAGAGGTCCCTCCAGCGGGGGGCCGCGCCGCCCCCCGCGCGCAAACTCGGTGTGAAGGCGGCGGGCCCCGAGGGGAACGGGGCCTGGAGCTCCGGGGGCCTCACCCAGGGCACAACTCTACGGTCCCGAGGCAGGGGGAGCTTGGGTTTTCTTCTTAGGACGGCGACGCGACACGTGGCCATCTCCGCGCCCATGCGGGTGGCCTGGAGGCCCGTACTCGAGGAGGTCCAAGAGGGGTCCAAGAGGGGGGAGCGCAAATCACGGCCGGCGGCATGTGCGCGGAACAGGGGGGGGGGGGCCCGGGAAATATTGAAATAAGAAGAGGGGCCATGAAATCTGGGCAGATATCATGGCCCCCGCCATGATATCCACCCCCCCTTATACACCCCCCCTTAGTCATTACCCCTCTCTTGGTCGCCCCCGACGTACGGCAGGCTTGCGTCGTGGCGACCCTGGTGCTGAGTCCCGGGACTGCGTGGATCGCTCAGCACCGAGCGATCGGGAGGTTTTCCGATCGCCAGATGTATGTTGCTCCCATCGTACTTCAGGACCACATCCCACAAATACGTAAGAACATCCAGAGCAATATCGAAACAGTGTCGAATGAGTATCGCCTCCCATGGCCCGACACCTGAAAACCCTCCAGTTTCGGTACCTTCTTGGTGATCGAAACTATTTTTGGTGATCAAGGCTAAAGTAGCTTGGAACATCAACACGCCAAATTGTGATTCTGGGCCTCTGGCGACCGTCAGCACTCGACACCAGCCGACCGCGCTCTGAATACATTGATAGTTTTGGGCCCCCGGACTACAAGGACCCCCCAGACTACAAGGGCCCCTTCCCCAGACTACAAGTGCTCCGAGGAGTGAAGAGGTTGTCGAAGCGAAAGAGAGAGGCAGGAGAGGGGGTGGAGTCCTCCACAGGCACCAGGAATACGCAACATGCCCAACACCCATACATCCTTAACCTCCCACGCGTCGAAAGGAACGGATGATGCAAAGGATAGAGGCCTCCTTGCTGGGGTCCGAGTCGATGGGGTTGGAGGATCGCGCCGCATCGCCGATACATCGGCGATGCATCGGCGATGCATCGGCGATGTACCAGCAATGCGTCTTCGACGTCGGCGGCGCATCGGCGACGTCGGCAAGGAGAAAGTCGGGCTCCGCATCGAGCCGCATCGCCGATCCATCGGCGGTGCGGCGCGATCCTCCGACCCCGTCTACTCCGACGCCACCTGGAAGGCCCAGAGAGGTGCGCGGGGACGTCACAAAGGGAGGCCGAACGCGGCGAAGCGCCTGCAGGACCTCCATTCCTCCCCCTGGCAGGAGCGAGCACGGTAACTATGGCCAAGACTGAGCGCGGAACCGTCGGTGTCAACGTGGGTCACCCTTCCTCTTGGTCACCGTCGATCCGTGGATCCTCCTCGCGTCTCGGCGACGGCCGGCATGGACCCTGACAAAGAGCGGCGTCGACAAGATCCCGCGACACCTGGGTCACGGTCAGCATGTCCCTCCCCTGCCCCGTGGCGGGGAGCGGGCGCTATGGGGGGCCCGTCCTGCGCCATGTTGTACTGGGCAACGGCCGCGTCTGGCTGCCGGTGCAAGCACGCCAGCGACGCCTCGATGGCCTGCTCGAAGCGGCCTCGGCACGGGGGGAGCGCCGACGGCAGCACTCGACTACAGGGCGGGCGGGGGGCGGCAACCCTGGGAGAGTCTGTTGAGCCCGGTTAGGGCCATTGAGCCTGACTAGCCCGTACTATTCTTACTGTCTTATTGTAAGAGTATTGTTAATATTCTTAATATGTTTTGATTCGCCTTCTCCTGTTTCTTCTCCTTATTGGTATTGGCCAAGCTAGACACTTCGGGATTCCATGGCATGGAATGGGATTCTGCCGGATGATGTACAAGCGGCCTCGGCACGAGAGGGCAGACGGTGATACTCGACCTCAACGGGGGGGGAGGTCGAGGAGCCATGAGTAAGACACATGTGCTGTGTGCGTTCTGCGAAACGGGGTTCTAGGTATGTTTGTATGTATGTATGTGTGTATGTGTATGTCTGTATATATTTGTACATGTGTATACACACATTACATGTCTATATATACATACATACACGCATACATACAGGATTGCGTTGGCGCTTCGCGCCTCGCATCTTGGCCCTTCAAGCTTCGCATATGGTAGCACTCGGCGTGGTCCTCTTGGGCCTTTGAAATTTGGCCGTTCCTTTCCCAGTCCGCTTACCCATGTCTTATTCCCTACCTAGGCTCTGCCTAGAAGGGTTCTTACTTCGTAGCTTAAAGGGCCGGGTAGTGGAACCCGCCACGGGCGGTTCCCCCAGTATCCGCCCCGCGGTTCCCCAAGTCTCCTGGGAGCTTTAGCTTTACCTTTAGCTTTAGCCTTAGCTTTAGCTTAGCTTCAGCTTAACTTTAGCTTAGATTTAGCATAGCTTTAGATTAGCTTTAGCTTAGCTTTAGCTTAGCTTTAGCTTAGCTTCAGCTTAGCTTTACCTTAGCTTTAGCTTAGCTTTAGCTTAGAGTTAGCTTAGTTTTAGCTTAGCGTTAGCTTAGATTTAGCTTAGACTTAGCTTAGCTTTAGCTTAGCTCTAGCTGTAGCTTTAGTTTTAGCCTTAGCTTTAGCTTAGCTTTAGCTCAGCTTTAGCTTAGCTTTAGGTTAGCTTTAGCTTAGCTTTACTGTTACTACTAATGCTGCTTTCCTAGGGGCTCCAACTCCTAGGTAGGGTCGCACTGGGATAATTTGCTCTCGTCCTCGATTTACACCTTCGTGCGCCACCCAAACTTGTATTGAGGTGCGGTTTTATTTGGATTTCGAGGCGGACACGAAGACGTGGCGACGAGAATGCCACCTGGAGGCTCCGAAAAAACGTTGAACAAAAATCGCGTGCCTTCTTCATTAGATCCTGCGCCGACAAAAGTAATAACGGCCTGTGCGTCGATTGTTGACACCACTTGGACCGTTCAGCTGTGAACGATCGCGCGTTCCATTTCAACACAGACCGATTCCTGACCACTGGCCTCGTTCATTCCGAAAGCCCGCGCCAATGTGGCCACCGCATCGACACGCCGTAAGACTACCGCGATGGAATGGAAGCTCTTGTTTCTACTCGGGGATCTGTTTTTCAGGTCCTCCGGGTTGCAGCGGCTCCTGGAGGCCGACGTCGAACCACAACCTCCGAACAGTGCAGAAACTCAACGAAGCCTGGCGGCTTCCAGCGACTCCCAACGGCATTAAACCACCAAGTATATGAGCCATCGTTAACCCCGTAGAGTGATGCGTCGAATCCCAGCGGTGAAAGTTCTGCAGCGTGTGGTGTGAGCTCTATTGTGGGAACCATGTGGTGCGAACTATGCGGTGAACGCTCGTTCGTGTTAGCTCAAAGTGATAACTTTGTGATGTACGTAAACTAGCTCTAAAATCGTGACTGCGTGGTGTAGACTGTGTAGTGCGGGCGACGTGGTGGTATCTACAGGGTGTACGTTCTATGGCGCAGAACTGGTGGCATGAACGATATGTTGGGAACAACGTTATGGAGACTGTGCGAAGAGCAAAGGCCGGTGTGAGCTCGATGGTGTGGGGCTCGCGAACGCCCGCGACGCGGCACGGGCGGGCACGTGACGGAACCTCGGCCGACCCACTCAAGTTCTGAACGCCGAAGCAAGGAACCCGAGTGCAAGCACCATCTGGGGAACCTGCGAGAAATCGTTCGTCGTTCCCTCGAACCTGAGCTTGCTCTCGTCTGGCGCTGCGCACCGTTCCCCGTCCACCGCAGGTCTGTTTGCGGAGGTTCCTCGTTGGAGAACCTCTTTGGGGCCCCACGAGTGCCTCTCAAGGGCTTTGGGGACCTCTGGAGGCCTCCTGGGCGCCTCTGGGTCGTCTGGGGGTCCGTTCGACGCCCGTTTGCCCAAGATTCCCCTGGGCCAAAAAACACGACAGGAGGGCCCCCAAGAGGCAAACATCTCCTTCTCTTTCTTTGGCAAGACTTGCATTTTCAGCATGTTCGTTTTCTTCGCCGTAGAAGCATTCACGGCGGCCCAGGAAGCCTCCAGTATCGTCCGATAAAGCCCCAAGGGCCGCCCAAGAAAACTTCGAGACAGCCCAAACAGGCCCCAAGAATACCCCAAAACGGCCCACAAGAAACCCACGAGGCCCCCGAAGGCTCCCGAGAGAGACCCGCGAGTGCCATGGGAGGTCCCCAGGAGGGCCCAAGATGACCTCAAGGCCCGTAGAGGGCCCAAGTGCTCCAAAAATGCCTCAGCAAGGCCGAAGGCCCAAACCGGCGCCAGAAGCTCCCCCCAAACGGCCAAGAGAGGCACCCAGAAGCCTCCAGAGGTCCCCCTTGAAAGGCACTCGCGGAGCCCGCAATAGGTTCTCCGTCAAGGAGCCTCCGCAAAAGGCGTGCCCGCCCATGCCGCATCGTGGGTGCTCGGGAGCCCCGCAGTATATAGCTTGCGCTGGTTCTTCACTTCGAATAGTTTCCGTAACGCTGTTCCCACCAAATTGTTCATGCCACCAGTCCTGCACCGTACAACTTACACCACATCGTCCGCCATATTTAGTTTGCACAAAGTAGATCCCCGCGGAAGAAACAATAATGGCACAGGGATGGACGCCGACATGATGTTGAAATAAACGGGGCGGCCCCCCTCGCATATCCTCGCATTATGCGACGTCCGCCTGTCAATGTAACGGACTACCGTCTCGCCCTCGCTGCGCGGCACACGTTCGTCATCTCACTGGGGGAACGAAGCTGGAAGGCATAACCTGGAACCGCCCACGCCTGCGGCCCAGCGAAGGGTCAACTTGGAAAAACACACGGGCATTAATTGGCATCCGCCTCTCGCTGTTGCTACCAGCGCACAAGCCAAATTGTGGTATATCGATAACCCGGCCCATGGTGCGCACCTGCGCACGCTGCCGACGTTGAAGGCGAAACTCAATTAATGATCCTCCCGTGGGCGTGGCCCTTCGCAGATGATGCAAGACGCCTTGCAAATCTTGTGACAACTTGTTCCCCGGCTGTGGGCACGTCTGCCCTAGTGATGGATTTCCGCGCGATTCCCTCCCATCTCTTGGCGCGCCTCCACTAACAGTTCAGACGCAACCGAAGCAGCCGTCCGAACAATGCCAGGGTTTTCGCGAGAGACACCTACATCACCGCTCCGCGGTCTGTAGGGCCGTGCCCATCATACTCTTCCTAGGTGCCGCCGCAATCAAGGTGTCCTCGCACGCTCGCAAGGCGCGCCAAGTGCGACACCCTTCGACGCTTCAGGGGGCGCGCGGGGATGCGGCCCCAATGCGGCTCGTGCCCGATGGCCCTCCCTGCAGGCGCGGCATGCCCTCGACGCAAGGGGGGGGCGCAAAAGGGGGGCGGTCTTTGTCCGTCTCACGCTCGCAAAGCGTGGTGTTCCCGACGCCGGGGGGGTGCGCGGGGGGCGTGATTTCTATCCGTCTCACGTTCGCGTCCCACGTTCGCAGGGCATGGCAAGCGTTGCAGCTTCTCGACCACGGGGTTGGGTCCGAGCCGATTTGCGCTCGGCTTGCAAATTCACACGCCCGAAGCATTCAACGCTGTCCAACGGACTACGTTGACGATCGGGTGGGGGGCGGGTTTGATATGTAAGCTCGTACGCGAGGTGCACTTTGCGCTGCTTGCCGATCCCACTCAACGAAAGGACGCTTTCGCGTCTGATGTGTAGCTACACACAGAACGCACTTCCCGTTGAGAGGCGTGCGCGCTTGACGGTCCGATTTGTTGGCTTTGGGGCGTGGTAAATAAGACGGAAAGCATCGATCATTATCACCAAAATCAGAACCTGAAGCTTAAGACTAAGGACAGTCAGAGTCTGAGCGCGGCGGCCAGAGCACCGTTCCAACCAGGTTCATTGCGTGGCCGATGGGTGGCAAAAGAGGAAAATCGTCGTCGTCGTGGTCACATAGCTCACCGCCAGGTTTCAACACCGCAGACTCCGTGGTCTACGATGTCATATCGATATGTGTTGTTGTTGTTGTTGATGTTGTTGTTGTTGTTGTTGTTGTTGGTGTTGTTGTTGTTGTTGTTGTTGTTGTTACGCCGTTGGCGGCCGCTGGATGCCGCCAGGCTTCTTGGCGCTTCAGCTGTCTCTGCAGGTTTTGGTTCGGCGCCGGCCGCTGCAAACCGGAGGGCCCGAGAAACAAATCCCCGAGTAGAGACCCCAGAAACAATGTTCCTCCATACTGTAGGTTCACGTTGTGTCGGCGCGGCGGCGACCCCAGCGCGGGCGTTCGGAATGAACGCGGCCAGTGGTCAGGAATCGGCCGGTGTTGAACGGGAATGCGCGATCATCCACGGCTGAACGATCCAAGCGGTGTCAAGAATCGACGCGCAAGCCCTTGCGACACCAATCGGGGCACTATCCAGCAGAAGGCGCGCAATTTTGGTTCACCTTTTGTTCGGAACCTCCTTGTGGCGTCCTTGTCGCCACGTCTTCGGGTCCGCCTCGAAATTCGAATCACAACGCACCCCCAAAAAAATCGGATGGCCCCATGAACGTGTAAGCCGAGGGAGAGAGCAAATAAGGAACAGGCAAGGGGATGTGAAAACGGCCAAATTTCAAAGGCCAAACATAATGACGCCAAGTGCCAAGTGCCAGCGTATGCGAAACTTGAAGGACCAAGATGCGTGGCGCGAAACGCCAACGCAGACTTGTATGTATGTATGCATGGATGGACGGATGGACGGATGGATGGATGGATGGTTGGATGAATGGATGTAAACACAAACTAGAACATACATAGATAAACATGTATGTGTGTACATGTGTGCCTGCTACACTGGCAGCTCTAATTTGCATACAGTGTGTCCCCTGTTGCCTACCCGCCGGAGCAGTCGCCCTCTGCCCAGCCGCCGACGCCCCAAAAAAGCGTGTCCGCAACAGTGCCCTCGGGCAAGTGTTGGAGTGTCCTCAGGTCCCTTCGAGCTCTCTGTACTGACTTCTGCAAGAGTGTCCTTCGTAAAGGGGCCCACTGGCCTCGTTCCGTGCCCCGAAGCGGCCGCGGCGGCTCGGCTCTCTCTCTCTCTCTCTCTCTCTTGAGCAGGGGCCAGCCGTCCCGGCATTCTTATAGGCCTACCACGCGATGCTATTAGAACCCAACAGTGTCCGAGTAGCAAAAACCATGTTCTTAGAACATGAGCCCGACGTTTTAAAACAAGACCGCCTGAAGAACATTTCGTGCAGACCACACTCGGTTCTTAGCACATTCTTTGGTGGGCCTACAAGCGAGCCAGGACGCTCCGCCACTGCTTGACTCTCCCGGGGCCGCGGCCCAGGCGCGACCAGCACTCGCTCAGGGCCATGGCCGGCGTGCGGAAGTCGGGGTCGAGCGCGAGCGCGCGGAGGTGGCAGTCGGCCGCCTCGTGTGGCCCACGGGGGGGGCACGAGGACCGGTCGACACTGGCGCGGGAAGTCGCCTATCGGCTCGAAAAACGTGTCTTTTTTGGTTACCAGCGCCACCCTCTGGGGGAAGGGGAGAACGAGGAGGCGACAAGAGTGGCGCCACCGTCCATGCTGATCCGCGCGCCCGTCACAGAGCCCGGTGCGAGGACCAGGAGCGGAAAACGGAACGGTACGGATTGTCCCTGGAAGCGTATCAGGCTAGGTTGCTCTCTCTGGTTCGAATCGAAATGTGCGTTGGATCGGGCTGCGTCGGGACGTCGTCGGAATCGAATCCGATCGGCTGCGCCAAGATGCACACCAGCGCCATGCAAACAGTGGGCCGCGTCGGGCCGACAGCGCATCGGAATGGAACTTGACTGGGCAAGCCAAAATCAGCATCGAACCGGATCGATCGGATCGAAAGTCACCATGCGGAATGCCCAAGCTGCCGAACGGGCCGAAATATAATAAGGGAACAACAGTACTAGCAAACACAACAGCATATATTCTTCGAGCGGTCCCACCCCACAGCGCGGGGCGGAATACCAGACAACCGCACGTGAGGGACGAAGAGAAAGGGGCCAGTCTTACGCGAGAAGACAAGGCGACCTTACGCGGTGGCTTACGCGGGCCGCCAGCGCGGACCGCCACATTGGAAGCGAGGGCGGTTCGGCGCCACCTTACGTGGCAAACTTACGCGCGAATGTCGGCACAGTCAGCAGCAATGCTTTACCCCACCGGGTGTGTCCGACCGCGCTCTGGCCCTGCGCGCCTGGCTGCTGCTGCCCCTCCGGCGTCTCGTCGTCGAACTCTTCGACGTCTGAGCGTCCCCTCTTCCTCTCGGCCGTCCCCTTCCCTCTTCGCTCGCCGGCCAATTCGCTAGTTAGTGCCCCTATCTAGCTTTTTGCTGGAGCGGAGTTCGCCGCCTCGCCGCTGACGAAGAAGTGTCCGATACCCAACGTCGACTGCACCTGCAGGTTTAGGGTTTGCATTGAAGCCCAGCGGCGGCGTTGTGCAGTCATTACTCGCGGGACACGCACGCTACCCAGAGAGCACCAGGGCCCCCAAGGCGCCTGGCGGCCCCGGCATGCAGTGTGTGCGAGGCGGGTCGGAAGCCCTTTTCCTGTGAATCTATCGATGGCAACCTGTTGAACGGGGAATTCGGGCGGGGTAGTAATGGGGGGTGACCTCAATGGTGGGTGAAGGAAGAGGCCCCTTTCTAGGGCCCTGCTCTTCACACCCAATGTTGGCCACTCCCAAGTACCACCCTCCTGAGGAGCATCAGCTTTCGGAGTTCTGTGGGGATTCCTGCCCAACCACTGGCGCGCGAAGGCGCAGGTCCCACCGCAGCAACCTAACTTACAAAGACAACACGGCGCTTCGTCCATGAGCACTGGGAGTCACAAGGGGGGATCGGGCGAATGCTGATGACCCCAGCCTGGTGCTGGGCCGGGTGCAGCGGGACGGCGGGACGACGGGAGGCGTGCGAGGAGTTGCGGCGGCGGTTTGGGGGGTGGAGGGGGAGTTGGAAGGGAGGCAGGCAGAGGTTGGAGGGGGGTTGAAGCGCAGAGAGCGACAGAGGACAACTTGAAAGCGAATACAAACGCGGTGAGCGATGAGCCACGAGACGACGTGATAGCGACCGCACGCCACGGCCCACGCGGGCCGCCAGCGTGGCACGCCGCGCGGAAGAGAGGGCGCTCACGCGCGACATATCCCATGCGGGAGCCCTGCGCGGGAATGCCCGCGCGGGCGGCACCGTTCTTCGGGGATCTTCTGACCCAGGTCAATCCAGACCCGGGCCAGTCAGGCCTGGCAGACTCCTGCAAGATCCTGCGAGATCCTGCGCCCAAGCCCAGGTCGATGCGAAAGATCCTGCAAAATCCTGCAGGACCCTGCGCCCAAAAACCCGGGTCGATGCGACCCGTGCCCTGCAGGATCCTGCAAGATCAGGCGCTCTGGCTGACACCCGTTTACATTGACCCCCGTCTAGAGGCTCCCGATATCATCGGGTTCTGGGCCACCGGCGGCGTTCAATCTTGAACGTCCGTGCTGGAGTCACCGCCGCGTCGACGCGGCGCCAACCTGCTGCCGTGGAAGCTTGTCCGCCGGCCACGACAGACCCAGACCTCCAACGCCTTGGAAACATCAAGAGGCCGAGGCCGCTGCCCTTGCCTGGAGGGTTTTTTTAACGAGGTTGGCGATGGTGGTGGTCATCGTCGTGGCCGCGATGGCCGTGTGGAGACGGTGGGGGGGGGAGCTTTTTTTGTGGGCGGATCTCTCAAACTCTCCGCCGCCTCTGGCGGCGTGCGTTGCGAGCAGGAACGCGGCAAAAAACCAGAGGAAAGCGCGGCCCTGACAGCGTAGCTCCGCACACGCGACCACTATCAACGAGCAAGAACACGCGACAAATGTGAACGAACAAAACAGAACATACAAACAAGAAGACAACGTTAAGAACACGTGACAAGAAAACAAACAAACAAAAGCTGGTGGTGGCCGTCGTCGTGGCCGCGATGGCCGTGTGGAGGCGGTGGGGGGGTGGGGAGCCCTCGGGGCACGCGGAGGCGCGAAGAAGGCCCGAGATGGCATCTCTGGCCGTCGGGGGCAGGCGCCGAGTTCGTCGCGATGGAACCCACAAGTCGTACTTTTTCGCTACGGCACCGGTGGCCAGGAATCAGCTCCTCCTCCTCCTCCTCCTCCTCTCCTCCTCCTCCTCCTCCTCCTCCTCCTCCTCATCATCATTATCGTCGTCGTCGTCATCGTCGCTGTCGTCGCCCTCATCATCATCATCATCATCATCATCATCATCATCATCATCATCATCATCATCATCATCATCATCATCATCATCATCATCATCAGCATCATCATCATCATCATCATCATCATCATCATCATCATCATCATCATCATCATCCGCCTCCTCTTCCTCCTCGTCCTCCTCCTTATTCTCCCCCTCTTCCTCCTGCTCCCCCTCCCCTAGCCTCCTCACGCCTCCTTCGTTTCAGCGGCTCCTCCTCCTCCTCATCCTCACGCCTCCTCCTCCTCCTCCTCCTCACGCCTCCTCCTCCTCCTCCTCCTCCTCCTCCTCCTCCTCCTCCTCCTCCTACAAGCCAGCCTGAACTCATGCCCGAAACCAGACACGTCATGCGGGTGCTGTGCTGGAAATGGTGCTGCCCCGAGGTGGCCCCAGCTTCTCGCGCCCGTCTGGGGGGCCCGTGGGGCCCTCGTGGGCCTGGTGGGGGGTGTGCTCGGAGAGCCATCTGCGCCTCGCTGGGCACGCGGGGCCGCCTTGGGCCAAGGCCACGTCGGGCAAAACCAGAATGTCGAGTTGCTGTGCTTTTGTCGTGGGACGTGTGTGCAGTGCAGAGACGCAGGCATTCAGGAAGCACACGTGAATTCGCGTTGTCCATCCTTCTGAACGAGCCGTCCAGCGCCTCGATGGGTCCGCTGAGCAGGACGGTCCCCCCCCCCCCCCCAGGGGGCAGGCGTTGACATGGACGGGGTATTCTTCCATGAACCCTGGCGTGCGCATGTTTGGCTCCATACTGCCACCCGACATGATACGCTCTTGTCATACCAGATAAAGCTAGCAGAGAAAGACGTCGTCGAGGCGAAAGTTCCATTCAGCCCCGATGGAGAGCCACGGCGCTTCCCCAACACACGCTCGCCAGCATGGCCTAATAATGCGATGCCGCACGCCTGCGGGGTGGGGGTCGGGGGCCGAGGGCCCCTCGAGGACAGACGGGACGACGGAGCATCGGAGGCCGCACGACGACGGACCCCCTCGGGGAGTGGGTCGGAGGGCAGGGCGAGAGACGGGCACGAGACCCTGTGGAGCAGGCGCGGGGCGCGACGCCTGGCAGCGGCCCTCCCGGCCGCCGCCCCCCCCCCCTCGGGGGGCCTTCTCCCACCTCTGCCTCTCCTGCAGGGCCACGCCCTTCAGGTAGTACGCGCTCGCGCTCGAGGGCAGGAGGTCCAGGGCCCGCTCGAAGTGCGGGGTGGCCTTCCGAGCAGGCCGGGCGGCCATGCCCCGCATCTTGCGCGGGCGGGGAAGGAGGTAGGCAGCTGGGCGAGGGCTGCTACAACCGTGGCTGCTAAAACGGCCCTCCCGGAAGGAACAAGCAACTTCCCGGAATGAGGCGCGGCACGCGAGACAATCAACGGGCTTCGTCCCGTGAAGGACGAGGACAACTTCCCGGAGGTCGATTTTAGCAGCCACGGATTTCGCAGCCCTTGCCCGGCTTCCGAGTAGGGGTCTTGCCCCCGCCCAGCGCGGCAATTTCAGCCATGCCCGAGCTGCCCGAACCCGAGACCCTCTCGACAAGCCCGCTGCGGGTGCCCTCCGCTGCCGCGGGCCAATCCGACGAGCTGGTCGAACTCGGGCCTGGCGCCTGCCGGTGCGTCGAGCGACAGCCAGATCAAAGCCACATCCTCCCACAGCCTGCGCCGCTCCGCCGCCACTGCCATTTCCCGTGGCTGCCTCTTTGCCTCTTGCACCCGCCACTGGACGCCAGATTCTCGCGTGCATATCCAGCAAGGCTCGGGCCAGTCTCTGAGGTGTCGCAGGTGTCGCGGTGGGCCTACCCAGAGTGCATGCTGCGTGTGTCTGGTGGACGTTCGCCCCAAAGCGGATCCGAGGGGCAACTCCGAAGTAAAGACGACGGGAAGCGGGATGGACCTCTGAGCTCTTCCTAGGTCCACCGATCTCTCTCTCTCTCTCTCTCTTTGGACATGTTTGGCGGGTAATCCATGCAGGGAGCTGGAGGAGAGGGGTCGGAAAACTGGGCGGGCGGAGGCTACGAGAGGGGGTCTCTATACAGATGGATGTAAACATGTGTATGTAGTGGATTCCCAAAAAGTCGTCCTTGCTCTTAGGGGTTCTTACTGCTGGAATAAACAACTGGGCCTGAATGTCGGTTTGGCGGCTATGTAGCCGCCGCCGCGGCCCCGTCGCCGCTTCGTCGCCGCCGGTCGTCTGGGTTCGAAGGTCGGTCTAGCGGCGATGCATCCGCCGTCGCCGACCAGTCGCCGCCTCGTCGCCGCCCGTCGCCTCGGCCTGAAGGTCGGTCATCGTCCATTGTACGCCAAACTTGTGATGGTTTCCCCCCACCCTCGCCTGAAAAATATGCGCGCACTCGTTTATCAACAATCACAAGTTTCAAGAAACCCTTGCAATGGAAAAAGACGAACTGCACACGCGCGCGTCGTCATGCCGGAATCCTTCAACAACCGTGGATTTCGCAAGGTTTTCACGATCGAATGTCCCGAACAAAAAACGAAAAACCATTGGTTTCGCAACAAATCGTTTTCAAAAAAAATCGCGTTCGCATTCTTGCAAAATCTTAGAAACCGAGGTTTTCAACACGTACATCACATGGTCGAAATGGCCCTCTCGCGCGCGCATGTCGAAATGGTCTGGACGCCCTTGCGAAAATGCTTTCGCAAGAACCCCTTGCGAACGAAAGTGACGAAGGCATGCACCAATTTTCCAAAAACTGCAGGTTGATCGAGGATTTCGCAATCGAGGTCCCCGAACAAATATCAAACACATGGTTTGGCAACGTCTGGTTTCCCCCACGCGCGTTTGCGAATTCTCGAAAAAAAAAACGACGTCACTAACTTAAGAGAAGAAACATCTTCACGAAATGCGGCCACATTGGTTTTTCGCGCCGCATGTCGGCATCATTCGAAAGCCCTTTGTGCGCGCCTAATGGGGAGCACGATCCGTGTCAAATAACACCATGCGGGCCACTTTCGCGCGTCGGCCTTGCGCGCATAACGAGCTCCGTTCAAAACCTTCATCGCCAACGCGAGGACGCCGTCATCGTCGTCGGCATGATCAGCATCGGCACAGTCACCGGCCGTGTCGTCGCCGTTGTCATCATCGTCATCACCGTCGATCGTATCATCATCGTGTCTAGTGCTGTCGGCGTTGCGATGATACCGCGCCCGCCCAGGTGGCCGACTCGCACTGAAGTGCCCGCTGGGAAGTGCCCAGCGGTCAGCGCCACCGCGGCCGCGTCGGTTACGCCAGTCTCGTTGGCTGCTCTGCGCGCGAGCATGCGCGGGCCAGCGCGGCCGCAAAGATGCACCAACCAACACTAAAACACTCATCGCAGTCGCCGAATGCGGTTTGCCAAACAACTTGCGGGTGGGTGGGTGGAAAGATTGCGCGACCAGTGGCGTTGACAACTGCAAGCTCCACAACTGATTTGCACCACGTAGAGTGCCAAACATATATTGCACTACATTAGTTGCGCCACTTAGCCTGCATCACAGAGTTGCCAGCACAACGATTGAACCTCATACATTGCACAACATGTGCTGCAAGTATATGGCGCCAGAAAGGTTCCACTACATCTTTTGAACTACATAAGTTGCGCCACATAGATTGCGCAACATCTATTGCACAACAGAAGTCGTCACCACATGGATTGCACAACATGGACTGCTAGGAGACACACTGTTCGGGGTCCGCGGTGGCTAGCACACACATGCACACATACATACATACATATATATACATGTATATATATATATATACATGTGTATATACATATATACATATACACATATATACACATACATATTCATATATATACATATGTATACACAAATGTCCATGCGCCGCCGAGCCTGTGACCACAACGGCACCCGACGATCAGCGGCGGCTGGCAACCCAGGGTAGTTGATGAAGTCGAAATCTGATGCTCTGACCCCTGACCCCCAGGGGTCATGAAAAAACCAGCGACTCTCGGCACTTTCAGCCTCTGGGGGCTCTTCGAGGGGCCTCCGGACCGACGGAAAACTGCTCGGATGACAAGCCGGTCCCACGGAATGGGTCGAGCCCTCTGGAAATCGACGTTTTGAAAAAATCATGACGCCGGGGATCTGACACGCTGCAAGGGACACGGGTGGCGGCGTCTCACGGAGTGCTGCTGCTCTGTCCGCTGGAGTCCATTCAGCCTCCGTTTCAGCCAGCCTCGCTGGGCGTGGACCTTTCAACATCAGAGCGAAAGGCAACGAGAACAACTGCTTGACAGGATCACTTTTCCATGTCTGTTGGTGCACTTGCAAAAAAGCCACGACTCCGAACGGGGCTTCACCCTCCAGAGCAAACCCCCTTCGGTCTCAGCCGGAATTTGCTTTGGGCCTTCTCGGCTCGGAACAAGCATGATAGGAAACAATGAACCAGGGAACAACCAAGAAGGCGTGAAGGCACCACGACTGCGTGCGAACAGCGCTACGTCGCCGAAAGCACGATCAGGTCATGACTCCCATGGATATGCCTGTCCAACACTTATCCCCGCTTATCTGTCGGCATAGCATCGCTATGCTTATCGACAGGCGGTCAACATCAGAGCCTTGCCCCACTCCTCCTTCATGGCGAAGTTCGTCCCCCTGGTCCGCTCCACGTAGGAGAGCACCGCGCGCTCGGGAAGGCAGCCGGGGTCCTGGCTTATGCATAAAAAGGGGGTGTTCCAAACGGGGGCGGCAGGCGCACTGCCTCTCGGCCCCGACGGAACCTTCGTAAGCTAGATGGAGAGCGCGATCGCGTGCTTGTGTGGCCCATTGGGTGTTCGTGGGGCCCGTTTCCTGTTTGTGTGGCCAAGCGCGCGGCCTGATGCGTGGAACTGTGGCCCGTACTGGCCCGTGAGTTAAATTTAATATGTCGATAGCTTCCCTGTGTTAGCTGAAAACCTCTGGGCAACTCTTGAAGGGTAGCATTCCCGCCTAGGAAAAGATGGCCGCACAGCCTCACATCTGGATGCGTGTTTACAGCAAGTTGGCAGTAGTAAGACAACTTGTGATGGCTGCGAGGGTGGCCGTAGTGGCAGCAGCCGTAGTAGTAGCAGTTGTAGTAGTAGTAGTAGTAGTAGTAGAAATAGTAATAGAAGTAGTAGTAGTAGTAGTAGTGGTAGTAGTAGTGGTAGTAGTAGTAGTGGTAGTAGTAGTAGTAGTAGTAGAGGTAGTGGTAGTAGTAGTACGAGTAGTGGTAGTAGTAGTAGTAGTAGTAGTAGTAGTAGTAGTAGTAGCAATAGTAGGATTAGTAGTAGTCGTAGTAGTAGTAGTAGTAGTAGTAATAGTAGTAGTAGTAGTAGTAGTAGTAATAGTAGTAGTAATAGTAGTAGTAGTAGTAGTAGTAGTAGTAGTGGGAGTAGTAGTAGTAGTAGTAGTAGTAGTAGTAGCAGTAGTGGCAGTGAAGTAGTAACTGTAG